AAGTTTTCGAGCTGCTGGGTTGACAGGAGCTGGGGAGGAAACAGGAGCTCGCTCTGCTGCGCGGAGCTGGGCTCGAACCGCTGAAGTGTCGACCATTTCTGGCCGGCACTTTCAGCATCGTTAAGCCACTGCTGTTTCCCAAATCTAAGCCTCACTCAGAACTTAAATTGCTAAATGTCCAGCAATGGAAAACATATAAAAATATATTTTACTGCAGGGCTTACAATCACCTGAGGGAGAACTAAATTGAAAAATGGCTCCAAGCTAAGTTTAGAATCCTTCATAGCTTTTTTTATGGCAAGAGGGGAGATCCCATTCATCAAATCTGGAAACTGAAAACAGTATTAATGCAGCTTGAAATGGGTAGATTTTACTAAATCCCAGATTTGTACTTCATCATCTGATGTAGAAATCCAAATTCTGAAGGAACTGGACACCCTGTTGCTTAATGCATGAAAAACAATGGCTGCAAATCCTTATTGCCAACACCTGGGTTGGTAAAATACAAAAAATTGAGAAGCTGTAGTCCACACGCTGCTGAGCAAGTCATGCAGACAAATCGAAACATGATATGCCTTGTTCAACTCACAGGGTGCATTATTTTAAAATCTTCCCATTATTTCCCAATAGTGCTTGCTCCATGGAATGTCCATCTCCTTAAAACCACAGAAAATTCCCTAGCCATTGGCTGGGATAAGATGACAGATGTGGACTATTACCTCATCAGCTACTTTCCTGTTGGGGAAGAGGCCTCGGTGAAACAAGTACAGGTGCCCAAAGATCAGACAAGTTATGAGATTCTGGGTCTGTTTCCTGGCACTGAATATATAATCACACTTCGCAATGTAAAAAAGGATGTTTTCAGTGAACCGGAACTCCTGCAAGGTACCACAGGTAGGAGCACTGCAATTCTCTTTCCATTATCCTTGGACCTGCAGGGTCTTGCACTACCAAGAGAAGATTAAGACTTTGAAAAACTAATAATGGAAACATTGTTCCTTAAGGAAATGGTGCCTTATACGAATTATGGTTGTCTGAATGAACAAATGTCTGAATGAACAAATGATAGCTATTGCTAATATTTCATCCCAACTTGGAGACTAGTGTGCTAAAAAAAAAAAGGGAAGTAACTGATAGCCAGGGATCAGCTTAAGAGATGTTTCCATTAACTCTCTTTGCAATGTTTATATCTTCTTAATTTATTTCTTCATTTTTCTGCTTCCTTGGTTCAGCTCCAAAGTGAGGCCAGAGGGGACACCCCCACTGACTGGAGCCACATTTCATCCCACTAAGATTTTCTTTTTTGGAAAAATATTTGTACATCTGTGCCATGACAGTGGCAGCTTCTCTCTGAAAAATAACTGTTTTGTTCAAAGACAAGAACTACTCTAATTAAACAATATAGCAGATGGTGCTGATGTTCCCTCAAGTTTTCTCCAGTTTGGGTAGCTTTTTTCATGATCACAGCCACCCAAGAGTCACTCAAGTCAGGCATGAGGAGTAAATATCCATGGCCTAAATTAGTTTCCCATGGGGCTTCTTTCCAAACCCACTTTCCCGAGGCCCCTTCTCCTATCCCCAGGTTTTGAAAAGGCAAAAACTCATCACCGAGGATCAGAATTGAAACCTTTCCTCCCATCCAGTAAGACTTCAACACAGTCCCCACTGATGATTGTGGAGATTGTTTTAATACCTGTTGTATGTATGGAAGCATTTTTATTTTTTGGTGCGGGGAGGAAGAATCTCAGGAACAGGGAAGGACGAAACTTCCCCTACCCAATGCTCAAAAATCATGTCTTCAGTCAAATCAGTATTTAAAACAAAGTGCATTTGTCATGTATGCAGGCTCTTTTATAGCCTTATTGTACTGGGGACTTTTGAGGAAGAAAGGGTTAATCCCCCCTCCAGGGTACTAAATCCTCTAAAAGATGACCTTCTCATGCTGCAATCAGACATTAACATAATCATTAATATTAGTAAGTACTATTTTAAAACCTACTTGCCACAGTGGGGATTTGAGGTAAGGTGTATGTCCACTTGTGTGAATGTACAGGAAGTCTATGTATGGTTCTGAACGAGGGTTGGGGAAGCTACATACTCACAGTGAGGTAGCTCTGTCCACTTTACCTGTAGACAGGTGTATCTGCAAGGGATGATGGTAAAAAAAAAAAATCAAGATGGTGTCTGTGTCCATACCATCAAAGCCCCACCCCTGTATGTGTTCTATGCACCTGACAGTCCTAATCAATTCAGTAAAATGGATTCAGTGAGATGTACTTGTTCGCATATATAAGAACAAACTATTAATACTACTTTAGGCTTGACACCCCCCTGTGGATGCTCCTGCGTGAAGGACTATCTTTGATGGCAGGCAGGCTCAGTTAAACTTGCCACTAGTTGTTTGTGTTCCCCTGACTTAAGAGATCCTGGGGTGGGGTGGGGGAATAAGGAGCAATGCACATAAAAGAGGGACAAGGCTTTGATCACATAATCGTGGCCACCGTCCTGACTCCTTTCAGATACCAACGTGTCTAAGAATTAAATATTAAAACTTTCTAATATTATGGGCAAGAGGCAAAATATATGCCAAACATTTAATTACTGGTATTGATACCAAATTTACTTCTAGGACAACTGTTATATTGCACAATTTTTTCTTTTAAACTTATATAAACGTTTTTATTTTATACTGTATTACTACCCTATGTCTCTATTTTTTATTTTAAGCTGCTGGCCTGTAATAAAGAATATCTTTCCATATATAAACTGACAGTGTCTTAAAAAGGTCTCTGGTCCTCATGATTACCTATAGTGTTGTGATCTTCCTAAGAAGGAGGCCTAACTCAACTGCTGACATGGCCCTAATTTATCCTAAAATACATTTATCCTAAAACTCCATGTGTGTTTTTTAAATCGAAGAATGATATATTTGTATCATGGTATCAATACATAAAGGATCCAAGAGGGGAAATGGAAACAAATATAGTTGCATTTATACAGATACATTCAGGAGGGTAAGCATGGCTTTTGGAAAAGTCTGTCGTTGGTTGCTGCAGTGATTCAAAGCACTGAATGACTTGCAGAAGATGGCTGCCGTTTATAATGGTGCAGGCCCCATCATGGTAGCAGAACCTGTAGGCTAATATCGAAATGGTTTGTGCAAAAACACTACCAGATTTTGGGAAAGCACCCCTTTGATTATCATAGCTAAGTGATGATGTAATTCTCCATATTAAAAATGTTGTTATAATTAACACTCTGAGAAGAAGATTGGCTGTTGTAGTCCTGTTTCCTCCTTGTCATTGCTCATTTCAGTTGTGTCTGCCATTGGGCCTATCTGGGTGACAGAAGAGACGGAGAACTCCTTGGAAATGGAGTGGGAAAACCCGGCAGCAGAAGTGGATTACTACAAACTGAGGTTCAGCTCCTTGCCTGGGGAGGAGAAGGAAGTGGTGGTTCCCAAAAGTAATGACGCCAAGAGCAGATATATCCTCACAGGTAAGCAATCGACTTCAGTGTCTAGTTATCCAGAATAAGGGCAATACATTTGTTCATTTGGTACCATTGCAGCCTATAAAAAGTTGGCAGAGCAGTTGCATGACTGAAAAAGGCTTTTGTTTTCAGAGAGAGGGATCTCGTCTATTTATGTTTTACTGTCTGGTTATGTGCTTTCCATATCTGGGATATAGGTTTAATTTTCTTGGAAAGGAAGCCTCAAGCAAGGGGTAGGCTCTCTTCCTCGGACAGTGAGCATATCTGGAATTCTGAGAAGGCACTTCCGCAGCATGTAAAACCGGGAGTCCTTACCTACTCACAAAATGCAAAGCGGAGGCATCACAGGCGATGATCATAAACCACCCATTTAGCAGCAAGCAACTACTGCAGACACTCTCCAACCCCTTCTGGCAATCTAAGACAGTATTTCTTACTTTTCCTTACTGTTTAGGCCCACTTCTTATCAAAGCAATAAGCTGCAAGCTCCCATAATTTTTCTTTTCCTAAAAATGCCTCCCTAAATAAAGATGATGCTAGAAGTTGGTACTTTGCTTTGCAGCATACCAGCCTTCAGTTGTTATTGTTATGATTTAATGAAAAGAATACAACACCCACCCACCCCTTTCCCCAGCATTCAGTCAAGCAGGGAGGCAGGTGGACCCTAAAAGATGTGGTTAGGAGTTAGGAGCACCACTTTGCCCCCTCCTGCATTAGAAGCTTATGATATTTTATATAGGTTAGAGCACAGAACATAGGTGAACACTGCAGTAGCCAACCAGATGCCCTGACACATACCTGATTTCCAAGGGAGCAGCTTCTAAATGCTTATAGAATCAAAATGTGTGCTTCTTCCTTCCTATCCAATTTGAAAATGTCGTTTTCTCTTTTTCTTTCTCCCTTTTTTTCCTTTCCAAGACAGCTATATTAGATAAAAACAGAGCCATTTTTCTTTCAGATCGAAAGGATAACTGCAGAATCCCCTCCCTAGGGATTGCTAATGTGTTTTAAAAGCATAAAATCACTGTGGCAATGCAAAACCTGTCTTTGTTAATGTTGATATGTTGGCACAGTGATGGCTGGGTAGGATGCTATGAGAGCTGGCTCAACTTGCACCTAATTATGCACAAACATGTGCTAACAGGCTCTTTTTTTCTGCCATGTCCTCATGATGTTGTCTTCATGTCATCCCCACCCTGTACCTGAGGAAACTTAAAATCCTTCTTAACTATTCCAGATTTTAGGTACTGTTTTCCCTTTAAGCAAGCAACAATCTGTGGCAGTTTTGCTATGGGTGCAATATGAGATGTTTCACTGACCTTTTGGTCTCTGCCAGCTTGGAGATCTGGATCAGTCTGAACAGCAGCTGACTTATCACAGGAGGTGCAGGATAAAGTGGGGAGAAAGAGCCATCTCGGCCTTTGTGGCTTAAAGGTCCAACTCTCCCCATGCCTGTCCTCTGTTGTCCAAGCTGCTTTTGAACATGGTTTAGTGCTATTCCAGAGTAGCACTAAACTTGTCTCCAGATGAAGGTTATCAGCTGAAATTTAGGCTCCCCTTTAAAACACAGCTACACTTCCACAAAACTACTGGTCTAACCAATTATCAAAACTTGCTTCTCCAGTCCCATCCTATGTTAAGAGGGTGACTGATGGATATTTTCTTGCTGTTTGGTGATGTCTGATGGAAGGGGAGAAAAGCAAAACCAAGGAATCCACCATTTTCTATCCTTAATATGCCTTGTACACGATGTGTAGGCATTGTGCCTATGAACCTTAGTTCTACCCAACCTGTATATTTGTAAATAAAACACAAATTTTACAAAATTCTGGAAGTCTTTTGTGTCCTTCTTCAAAGGAAGCTGAATCTGAGAGAACACTACAGCCTATAAAACCTCTCAGTGCTCAGTTAGGCTGCATATAGCCTTAGACTATTTAAAGTTCACTAGAATGAAGACAGTTCAATAGCTGTGGTATTACTACAGCAAAGTCTTTCTTGTGCAGCTATAAAGTGGGATATGCAACAAGGCCTGTGATGAAAACTGCAGATGACAGCCATAGACTTACAAAACAAATTTTCATATAAGCTGGTACAAAACAGTTTAGGGCTTTACATCAACAGCTTGATTTGAGCTCAGAAACCCATTGAAAAGTGATGTAATTGTTTTGACTGCTATATGTAGAACTCAGGTGACATTTTACCTTTCCTCAAATATGACGTCAAAAGATCACTCTAGACATATTATTCAGGAAACGTAAAACAATAAAGGATTTTAAAACTTGTCTCAATAAATCATGAAAGAAAAGGAAACAAAGGCACAATCGTGTCTCAGAACATGTTATCTTTTTGTTCCTCCCTTTCTTCTTTTCATAGGTTTGAAGCCAGGAACCAAGTATAAGATCACTATCACATCTGTGAGGAATGAGGTTGAAGGCAAGCCGTCCTCTGTACATGGCTGGACAGGTATAAACAAAAACTTTGTTTGTAGCATAATGAAATCCTTACACAATTTCACAAGCACAACTGTTACTGGTCTTCACAGTTGTCACAGCAAACTACCATACTGCTGGATCATCCTGAGACTGCCAAATGGCCCCCCATTCTTTCCAATTGCCCGATGCGGAAAGCTAGTGTCCAGAAAGACACAACAGACATGCCAGGAGGGAAGGGGATTATCCCAGTTGACTCTAGTCCCACCCTTTATGTGTTGTTTGGTTGGTCTGCAGAGTCATGGTTGGTCTGCAGAATCTAATGAGTACAGACTAGATGCATGCATGTTCTCTGAGTGCCAAGGACAATCTGTACAGTATTATATGGCTGTGTGCTCAAGATCAGTCGCAATATGTGAATGTTGGGGGTATGGCCTGCCATGCAGTTCTGACACCTGCTCCCCCATACATTGAATATAGAGAGATTTTAGCCACTTGAGCAGGACTTATCTCAGTGTTTCTAATTTGGTGCCTTCCAGATTCTAGAATGTTCAGTTAGCAAGGCCATTGGGGCAATACTGTTTGGGATTAATGCGCAACTTGGGGGTCCTCCTAGATACAGAACTACTGCAGCTGTGATCAGGAGGGCTTTTGCACAGATTTTTAAATTTTTATTTATTTATATATCAAATCTATCACTGCCCATCATCCATCCTGTGTGCCAGTTGTGCCCCTTCCTCGACTGGGAGGCCCTTCAGATGGTCATTCATGACTTAGTCCCTTCACAATTGGACTATTGTGAGCTTTCTGACAGCCTTTTGCTCTTCAATTTCTGATACAAATCTTAGGGAGACACTTCCCCACCTCAAAGTTCATTGGCCCTGGGAGTTCTATACTGATACCTCCACATGGAAAGTCCCATACTAAAGGCCATTGTAGGCCTATTTAGAGTGCAGGCCCTGTGCCAATGCATGGAGAGGAAAATACATCTTTGGTAGCAGGTTGTACTCCCTACTGCCACTTCTTCAGTTACTAGTCTGAAAACTAGAGTGTGGGCTTGTCATGATAACCACCCTTTTGGCCTTCGAATCCAGTTTAAAATGTACCAGAGATTAACTCAGACTGTTTTGACCATTTCAGATTAAAACATCAGGGTGTGAAGAGCTCAGTCATGTTTATACATTTGTCACTTTTGGTTGGCTCATTTTTTGCTTCTATGTGGGATAGCTGCCACACTCCTGGCTTTGGAATAAAGGAGACCACAAGTCTGGCTTCAGAGTCACCCAGGAATGAATCGTCTAGCATGACATCAGTCAGAAAGCAGATGGCTGCAGCTGCAGGTTTTGGCAATACAGTTTGGGAGAGCCAGTCTGCTTCTAACTGTATGTCCCAAACAAATGACAATGTTGGTGTGAGTGAAGCTTAATAGTTACTTGTTGGCTGATACATTTGAAAATAGCTTGATCAGAAAATGTCTCTTTTGCTGGAGATTTGAATTCGGCAGGAGTCTTGTTAGAGGATGTGCTTCTGAGAACATGCAGAGTGCTAAAAGGATACCAAATAATTAGCATAATAATTAATCTGTAGCAGCAGATCCCAGTCAGAAAATAAAATGTTCATGGTATAGTTGCCTTGGTTGCAGGATATAGCTTAGCCCAACTATCAATGAATGCTAACAGACATTCCTTATATTTAGAGAGAAAGGTCAATTTATTAAGAAATATATAAGTTTGGAAAGCTTACTTTTCTCTAAACAACATCTTAAAGGTCATGACTTATAGCCCAGCAAGAGAGAGGAAGTTCTTTTTGTCTGTTAACACAGAGATTCATTTAACCAACCATTGGCCAAATAAGAAGGAGACCCAGGGACAGGATGTGAAGACCCTTTCCCTCATCTGGCTCTTGCCACTTGCCCCAGTGGACAGAAGCCTTTTCAGTGGAAAGAGATAATGCCGTCTTCAATATGTCTGCTAAGAACAGTTGTGGTTTCCATGGAATGTTGTCACAAGCAAACAAGGTGTTTCTTGAGGTATTTGCGTCCATTTAAGAACCAGGAAGGAATTCTCTAAAACCAGTCCTTTATTTAAAAGAAATAGGTTGAATGTCCAGCTGTATCACTCTAGGAGAAAGAGATGGTTGGAACCATTGCACCATAGCTTCAAGATGTGTAAAATCTGTAATGCTTTGTCATCCATTATCTTGAAGGCAAGTCAGCAGGTGTGATCCAGTATGTGTCTGGGGAGAGTTGGGAAACATGGCCATGTCCCCAGCTTTTGATCACTAATCAGCATCCACTACAACCATTCCCCTCTCAGCATCTGCCCTCTCCATAAGAACTTTTGTTTCCCAAGTGCCTTTTGTACTGGACACCACTAGCCCTGTCGATTTTTGATACCAACTTCACTCCAGGATTTGAACAAGTAGCAGAGAGGAGAGCACAGCTAGATGTAGCAGTCCTCCTCCTCCTCATTGCAGTGTCCAAAAATAATGAGGGATGTCAGATGGAGCTTTTCTTGCTCATTTTCTGGTTTCTTTGTATTTGCCAGTTTTAATTACTCCCCTAGTGCAGCTTATTTGAAGACAAAGTCCTGAAGTCCATCATTACTGTCCAGGCTGATATGTTTTTTCTGCTGGCTGGTGATGTGCTGAAGGTGGGTGGCAACAAAGCAAGAGGAGAAAGCCGATCACCTTGGCTTTATTATGGCACCTTCACAAATTAGGATAATGCTATTTGACAGTGACTCAGAAGAGACATGATAGGCATGTGATAGGGATTGGCAATGGGCGTGGCAAATTTTATGCTGATATTGCTTTCTACCAACACATGGGCGGATGCATGGCAGTAATGCAGTAATGGGAAAGCCCTCTAGTTGCCTAAACATCACTTTTACATACGAGGCAGGAAAACATGATCCAACTCCTGAAGAGCAAGGGATCACCACAGGCTCTGATCATGGGATTGGCCCTCTACAAGATGTTTTAGGCCAATTCCATGGAAAGACCACTCAGACAACCTCTGCCAAGTGGTTAGGTCATTTGAATGTTACTCTGGCCACACAGAAGCTGCTCTTAGAAAAACAGATTCCACATAAGTTGACTAAAATGTCCCTAAATTATACAGAAATCTAAGTAATTATTTATAATTTGAGAGAGCTCACCATGAAACTAGATGGTGGTGGCGGCAAACCACATTGGTGCTCCCAGGGGAAAGAGGCAGAGTTGTTCACATTCAGCTGGAATTTCCTCCCCTTCCCACCGTCAAATATCTATTATTTGCAGGTAGGAGCAATTTGGAATAAACACAGCAGCTTCACCCCTGTTCTTGTAGAGGGTAGAGGGAATGGCCTTGAGGGGTAGGAGGAAGAGCTGCTACCAAGACAATGGTAAGATAAAAGAGGTCTGAGTCCAGAGAAGAAATGTAACCTGAAAAAATGTCTCAGACAAGATCTTCCTTAGTTCTCATAAAGATGTAGGGAGGGAGGGGAGAGGAACGTTCAGACTTGCAAGGTTCTGTTACTATATCTTTACAGTAACAGTAGTATTGACCTACATGACTTTGGTTTCCTAGTCTGGTCTACCTTGAAGGGCTGATAGCTCTCAGGCTGCTCATACACACCAAGCTCTGCCACACTGCAGCCCATTTGATTTGAAAAGTCTACCAAAGGTGCCGTAAAGTGAATATGTTGTCCTAACATGTTATCTAAACCCATTTAACATGGCACCAGGATCTCTTTCCAAGAAAAAGTTGGATGTATGGGTGGATTCAGAGAGGGCTTCTAATTGTGTGGAGTTTTTCAGACCTTTGGAAGAATTGAGGTTATCAGTGGTACAGCTGACAGGAGAACAGTTTCCATGCATGATGGGAGGAAGGGTGTGTGACAAGCAAATATGCTGGAAAACAAATACGCCTGGAATGTGGGGAATACAAAATACTGGTTCTTTGAGGATGCCCAGGAATTAGACTTCTTTGATGTTTTCAGTGCACCAGTGCAAGCACTGGGGCACAGCAGCATGTCCAGCAGAAGACCCTGACTATAATCCCGTGTGGTAATGTCCATTGTTAAGGAAGCGGACAGGCCTGAACCCCGCAGGAGCAACTTGAATGCTAGAAATGGGAGGAGAGGTCATTTTGCAAGAACTCAGATTCGGAATGAGTTGTCTGATGACTGGAATCACTACCATAGGTGGTGGACATTTTTGAAGGAGCAAGCAGAGAAACCAGCTCTGGCAGCTTGGCCTGTATTCCCCTGGGAGACATCTGGGATTCAGGCAGAGATTCTTTGCTGCTGCAAAAGAGGCAAAACAAGATATGAGATGATAAGGGATGACCTTGTGGTGGCAGTGGATCTCAATGGAAAGATCTGAGTGGGGGCAAGAGAGCTATACCAACCCAAGTCAGCCAGTGTGCTTGAGAAGGCAGCACTGGTTTTCTAAAACAAAACATGATGGAGGTGGCTCTGACAAGAGCTTTTGGACAGATGTTGGTATTGGTGTTTAAATCCATTTTAGGTGAAGAAATCAGCAGATTACAAAAGAAGGTAAAGCAAGTGGTGAATTCTGACTGCTCCTAAATGAGCGAATGAGACAGAACTGATCCACATGAGCACCATCCCTGGGAAGGCTTCTTTGTGCAAGCCCCAGGCATAAATTCTCATCAGGTTGGCTTCTGCCCTTTGCTAACTGGTGGGAAGAAAGAATGCTATTTGGATTGTATACCCCCAAGCATCAAAATGTTCTGAATTAGCCTTGATGAAATGGCTCCTGGAGGTCAATGGAAATCTTGTCAGAAACACTGTCATAATTCAAATGTCTAATTCCTTCCTAGAAATTGATGGCCCAACTCATTTAGTAACTGACGGAGTAACAGAAAACACAGCTACCATTTCTTGGAATAGAGCCCAGGCTCCCATTGATGGCTATGTGGTGAGCTACACCTCAGCTGGTGGTGACACCAAACAGATATCCGTTGACAAGGACAACAGAACCACCACTCTTATGGATTTGAAGCCTGGCATGGACTACACTATCCACATCTGGGCTGTGAAGGGAACTCAGCAGAGCAGAAGGGCAAGCACAGAAGCTGAAACAGGTACTCTATGGATATGAAATTATGGAATCTTCACGAGTTTCTGTATTTTAGTTCTATTCAGTGCAGTTCTTTTTAGACATTCTAAACCAGTATTTCTCAGCCTTGGCAACTTTAAGACATGGAGACTTCAAATCCCAGAATTCTCCAGCCAGACACTGTTCTAAACTGTACAAATAATATGAGCATTAGAACTCTGGCAGCAGATTGAAGATTTACAGTCTGCTGGAAGAGCCATATAACTTCTTATCTTATCTCAGTTTTGTCAAGACAAGTCACATTCTTGTGAATTTATAACCTGAAGGATGTCAAGCAAGTACTGATTGTCAGACTCTGGTCAGAGTAACGAACTACACAGAAAAACCAGCCAAACAAATAACAAATATTTTAAATAATAATTGGTTAAATATGATAATCACATATTTATATGTATCTGTGTCTATGTATGTATATTATTATCATTTATTACTATTATCTCCAGTTCAATTATGCTTACTAGGCAGAATTATAAATATAATGCTTGTGACATATCCTGGTTGGAGCTGATTATGACAAAAATTCTGACAAAACGGAATTATTCAGAGATGGTACAAATAAACTGCCTTCCCAGATTCTCACCTCCTTTTTATTAATCAGATAATTCAAATCTTCAGGCATCAAGAAAAAAGCATGGCATATAATGCTGAGATTTAACTGTTAAAAGTTATGCTCAAATTAACGCATGGCCATATGGTCTCTTCAGTAAGGATTGCTGGATCATTATAAGAAAATGATTTACTAGGGGACTCATGAAAAGAATATATAATCCAGTGTTACTGAGAAAAAATTGCAATATACCTTGGTTCACAGAAATAGATGGCCCCACCAACCTGAAAACAGACCAAGTGACAGAAAACACAGCCACTGTCTCTTGGAACAAGGCCCGGGCACCCGTAGAACGGAACATCCTCAGCTATACATCCGCCGATGGAGAAACCAGAGAGATAGTTGTTGGGAAGGACAACATCAAGACTACCTTGACAAACCTGAAGCCAGGCATGGAATATGTTCTCCACATCTGGGCAGTGAAGGGAAGCCAGCAGAGCAAGAGGGCAAGCACAAAAACCGTGACAGGTAACTTGAGTGGGGCAGCGGGAGTGGGATGACTGCACTTCTTAACATATAAAAATATTCTGCAAAGGTTCTGGAATAACGTAAGTTTTATGAAAGACGGTCCTTAAAAATGACAATGATATAATCATACTGATACCAGGGCTGATGGAATCCATACTACTTTTTCTTATTTATTGTAGTATCTATTGAACTATATATTTTCCAGCTACAGAATTGCATGATCGGTACTGTTTTGGAAATGCTAAGGACAGATCTCACATACATATAGTGCCCTGCAGCACCCTCTGTTGTCCAAATGAGAATATTAACCATACATTACACATTTATGTGCTATTTCTTCTCCGCTGCAGTCATTATTCTACAAGTATTTCTCTCTCCCTGTTTTGGGGATTAAATGGGGAGTGAGCTCATAAATATCCCATTGCGTTCTGCTGTCTTTGCTCCATGTGCAAAGGATAGGAGTGGGAATGTATAATTTGAAAGCTTGCAGAGAATGGTAGTAGAACTGAAATGAAAGATCCATTGGTGGATTTGTGTCATAGATCTCTAGCCTTCAGCTTCATCATTTTTAGGCATTAGAAAGTTTCTTGCCCTCTTGCAGAACTGTGCTCTTTCTCCTTTGCATGCGTCACTGCCTCTTTTCCTTGATGTCCCTCCAAAGACATTCATCGATGAGCATCCTTATAGCACACTGTAAATTATACTGTATATCACTGTATTTCCTGGAATTCTTAGATAAAATGCATAGGATTAAGGACTGTAACCTTTTACAGGGTGATAGAGCTGGTTGGTCATGCTGCAACATAAAGGGAGGCCATGCCAGTGTAAATAGAATATAACATGACACCTTACTCTCTGAGTGAACAAAGCTGCTAAGGCCCCTTTCCCCCTCTTTAGCATTCCTCTATTTAAACTTTCAGCCTTACACAGCTCTTTTCCCCTTAGATCCTTATCTAAAACCTAATCTGGATCTAAATTATCTCTAAACCTACATTTGCATTGTTGAACTTCATTACTTTGTTAAAGCTCTTTTCTGAATAACATCAACATTTTTGGTTAGCTGAATGGCTGAGGAGAATGTACTTAATATCTTTGACACTCAGACACCCTGAAAAACTTAACTGTGTAACATGTTTGGTTGGGAAGCTGGTTTTAACAAGTTGTATCCTGGATGAAAGAAAAAAGAAGCAGCAGTTGGGTTTCAAGATATTACAGCTTGTCTCTGGCCCTCAGCACCTCCTTCTATACCTCCTAAGCATGTGCATAAATTCTCCCTTCTACTATAGATTCTGAAGTTGATTCTCCCCTAACTTCTCTGTTTCTTAGCATACAGCCAAATGACTGTATTAACATGCTACCTTCCAGTCCCTGAGCTGACAGAAAAATATGCCAATATAAATTGTGTCGACCTGATAGCTGAGCCTTATTCTGCCTCAGCAATGAGGCCAGTGAACGGTGCTGCTTTTATAGTTTCAGTGTAGGACAAATTAAGGAAAGCAATTGGTGAATTTCCAGAAGGAGGGGTTGCAAGGACCATTGGGGGTGCTCCTTCCTGTTTGTCCCATACCCCTCCTCTATCCCTGTGAACTAACAAGTCCAGAGAAGGCACATGGGGTGAGTCAGGAGGGAACAACTGATAATGAGACAGCTCCATCCTCAGCTAGATCTGCAAGGGAATGTCAGTGCTCCTAACACCTGAAAGTAGCCTGAGTAGGCAAAATGGCTTAGAGTATGCAACATTGTACCTCTCCACCCCTCAAAGTAATAAAATCAGAACGGCCATGCCAACCTCCTCAGCAGAAGCAGTAGAAAACTTGCAATGCCTTCACTGGTGGCAGAACCCAGCAACACATAGCTGGTAGGACCCATCTTTCCTTCCCAGTTTAAATCAAGAGAATATTAGAAATCAAGAGAATATTAGACTGGGTTTTTAAACGCAGGTTTAGTCTTCTTTTTAACAGTGCTGAAGTCATGATGTATTGTAAGGAGCTCTTGTAAGACCTGAGAAATGCTTTGGAAAGTGCTGGTCAGGCATTGGGTGGGCAGATGTCTCTGTGAAAGGAGGGGTCTGGTTTCTCCACCCAAAATAGTTATGGAAAGTAGTGATCAGGGACCAGAGGTGATGAGTCGTGCCTGCAGGGTCTCAAAGCGGCCTGTAGAAGCTGGGCAGATCATAGCCCTGTCTGTGCCATCAACTCCAACATGAAACTCTTTCAAAACTTAGGTTAACGTCCAGGAGGGGTTGATGTCCTGGAACAGGCCCTGTCAATTTGCCTGAGGGCTTCTGCTGGAACAAGAGATGTTCTTGTGAATAAATATACCAGACAGTCTGGGCTCTGTAAGGTCCTGGCGGCTCTCTGTAGCACTGGAGAGCTGGCTTTACTTAGCTGATTCTACTTAATCTGACAATACAAACATTTTGAGTACTGTGGCAGCACCTAGAAATCTTGCCTGGATTAAAAGTACCAAACAAAACAACTAAGTGATATTGGACCTGGATAATACTTAGATGGGGAACAACCAAGAAATCCTGGAACTGAAAAAATATTCTGGAAGCAGACAGTAGCAAACTACTGCTGTCTTGTTGCCCAGGAAACTACATGGACGTGGACATGGACATGTAGTCTCCAAGACGGAATCTTTTTACCATACTGAAGCTTGTTTCTTCTGAGACTCAGCCAAACCAGGGCAGCAGTGAGCAACAATATTGAAACCCCAAATATTGTAAAAGGAAGAGTAATCCTAGAACATATAACTGCTCAGGGAAAAGAGGAATATACATAGAACAAAGAGGAATTTGTTCAACTCTTCTTTGCAGGGAGGCAACACAGAATATGCAAACATTTTTTTTAAAGTTCTCGTTATAGCTTTCTGAGTGTTTTCACACTGTTCCCTGCTTTGTCTAGATATTGATCCACCAAAGAATATCCGTGTATCAGATGTGACACAGTCCAGTGGAGTAGTCACTTGGATGCCCCCAGATGCTGAAATCAGTGGCTATCTTCTCACCTATCAAGATCCACTTGGCCCAAGTAAGGTAAGCCTGCTAAATTCCCTATCTATGAAATTGGTCAGCCCAGCTATTCACATATGACAGACCTTGCTTAGGCCATTTCAGACAACACTCAGCAATAAATCCAGATTTGCCATCAACTGAGCCTGTCACTCTGACAATAGTATATATACCTTCTAAACTTACAGGTAATGTTTGTAACTGGCATTTTTAGATGCGCAGTTTAAGGTTATCTCCTAAAAAGTATGAGCATCTCAGAGAAAAATTATTTTGAGAATTTCCAGAATGGAATACCCACTGTTATATTTGCTGTAGGGGTTCAATTGTTTCTGATTCTATCTTATCTTATCTTATCTTATCTTATCTTATCTTATCTTATCTTATCTTATCTTATCTTATCTTATCTTATCTTATCTT